TTTGTTTTTGTTTTAAATTGCGCGCAAAGCTACACGAGGGCTATCTGCGCTAGCCGTCCCTAATTTAGCAGTGAAAGACTAGGGGAAGGCAGCTAGTCATCACCACCCACCGCCAACTCTTGGGCTACTCTTTTACCAACGAATAGTGGGATTGACCGTCACTTATAACGCCCCTACGGCTGAAAAGGCGGGCATGTTTGGTGGGACGGGGATTTGAACCCGCGACCCTCAGGTTGCGAGTCGAGCGCCCTAACCACCCGGCCATGCCGGGCCATGCACAAAAAGTACGGAACATTTACTTGATAAAAAAACGTATTTAACTTTTATGGATTTTGTTTCAAATTTAGTACACTGATAGATCTTTTAACCTACAATTAGGAGTTTCATCTGGTATAACTATAAGCCCCAAAAAATGCTCAAATTGGACTAAAAATTTTCCACACGCCTACGCAAAAAGTCACCTGAACTATCGGTCTAACATTTTTACTATAGCTTCACCTAAGAGTAAAAATGGACCGTTTTTAGTTTTTGTCATTCGGATTAAAGACGGCTGATTTAGAACAGCAAAACTATAAGGTGAAAGGACGTGCAGATACATAAGTATTGGTTAGGCTAAGCAAACTAGAGTAGCAGTTTTTAACTCAAGTTTTCAAAAGAATCATACGGGTGGACAGCTATTATTGATTGCCAACGTTTCAGCACAAATTTACTAACTTTTATGAAATTATTCTAATTAAAAGCGTTTAGCGTCACGTGATATTAGCTTAAGCAATTATCATAAATAATGATGCTTGATACGGCTGTACCGATTGCATGGGGGTGATGACAAGAAACTGTTAATCTAAATTCGATGGCGTTACTATAAAGAAAGCTATTAGCACTACTTTAGAGAGTAAAAACTACCACCATATATTTCAAAGAATGTGGTTGGTTCTGTAAAGTAAAGGTCTGTTTGGAAAAATAGGGTTGCGATCCTAAATATAATGTGGGTTGCAATCGAGTGTCACGTTTTTACTTGCTGTGGTTAGTTGGTGTGTATTGACAAAAAGTCATGATATCTAATCAAAAACACCTAAGGTGTGGAAAAAGGTTCAGTCAAAAAAGGATTCAGCGTGCGACATAAAGGAATGAAATTAAATTTGGTGGCCAAACTTGTAGCTACACTTGTAGCATTGATAAGAAATTTACAGCAAATATTCATTCATTAGTTAGCCTGGCCGCTTTTTTTTTTTGTTCAACTTGGGCATGATGGTAGGCCAAAAAAAAATATATGCGCCTAGTTACTAACGGATAGTGAGGAAGAGGAAACTAAAAGTCAGCATATTAACAAATATCGATAATCCAATATACTTTTCTTATGTTTTTATTTATAAAGATTATAATACATTTAATGCTTAGAGACGGCTTGAATGGGTAATGAAGAAAAACTTTAATATAAATTTAACATAACAGGAAATGTACAACGTTTCGACAAGGTTTTGTCATCATCAGGTACAAAACCTTGTCGAAACGTTGTATATTTGCTGTTACGTTATACTTATATTAAAGTTTTTCTTCATTACCCATTTAATCCGTCTCCAAGCATTATTAGTCTCAAAGTGGGCTCATCGTCATCGAATTAGAATACATTGTTTCGTCAGTTGGGTACCCTCGTTGTTGTCGATATTTTCGTCCGTAATAATAATAATAATTATAAAATTATTGTATCTTTAAAACGATTGTCCACACTTGTAAATAGTCTCCTCAGCTATGAACCAAATAAAGAAATAAAAGATTTGATTTATGTTTACATGGAAACTTACAAATCCACTATCACTCTGCACTATCTACTTATAAAGTAACGAAGAAACCAGTTTATAACAAGCGTGAGAACACAGCCTGAGGCGCTAAATCCTAAATCACAATGACGAGAAGAATGCGACTCAAGTAGGTGAATAATTTTAACTGTTTACTGTTTCAAGGACATATATCTACTATATATGTAGATATATTTATATGATTATTATAACGGTAAATCAAGACATATCACACACAGAAACTAGAAAATTTATATGAACTTAAAGTACAACATAAAGAAAATATTCGACAAATCGATAAATGTAAACTTTCCAAATTAAGGTCCTTACACTATTTGACGTATGTTTTATATATGCGATGTATATTTAAGTTATAATATCTAGAATCTAAGTTTGAATATTACTCATTGTTTCGGATTTTATAAATAGCCTACCTTTCACTGAATACTTTTTCTAAAATATTGTTGCGTCAGCGAGTCACATGACCACCGTGACGCAACGTTTCTAGAATTATCATGTACTTTGGCGAATGTTCAAGTTCTTACTAGAAATAGGGTACGCTAGTATATAAAAGAGGGGAATGTAATGTGTGTGTGGATAGTGAGTAACTGAACTGCAGTCACACGGTATTGTTGAAGTTAACGTTCGTTCGTTACAGTGTTGTTTTAGCGCGAGTATTGAGATTAAGTGTATCGCAGAGTTATATTCGGAAAGAATAAATCAGTTTTATTAAAAAAGGACTTGTGTCGCTTAAGTTTCGTCGGAACGAAGTTACGGAAATTAATCAATTAACAAACGGAGACGTAACAATATAGGTGTCAGAAAGTGGGATAAAAAAAAAGAAGAAGAAGAAGAAG